AGCCAACTCAAAAGAAGCAAAAAAAACGCTATAGAGATTAGAGCGAACAGTAAAATACAACACCAAGGCAGCAAAGCATGAATATTGACAGAGCAGAGAACTTTCAAGACACTTGAGCTCACGACCAGCAAATTCAAGAAACTCATCTTCGAAAAGTTGGCGAGGAACGATAAAAGGCATAGTATCTAATATGCAAAGACATTATTACTCTCAACACCTCGAAAGAAGAAGTGATCATCATAACTTAGATTTTGCTCAAACAAAACAATCATTCCAAATCAAGAGCACCTCTCGATCATCTTGTTCTGATGCACAAGTATCCGCTGTTATCAAAAAGCGCCAAGCAAACGTTACAAATATGAGATGAGGGCTTGGACAAAATCGAAGCACCAAATGTGCTATTATGGAAGTGAGTGTTTGCATTGACTAACTCCATGACATGGCTATCCTGCATTTAAGTAAACGCGAAAACGGGTGTGTTCAGAAGCAATCCTTACCCGAGGCTGTGTGTTCATCAACGCCAGATGGAGCGGAAGATGGTGGATTGGCTGATTGACTCCTTCGCCTACTACACAATAAAAAGCTGAATAATCGGTGAGTGTTTACGGGAACCAACAAGAATCACAGCACCCACCCTCGAGGCTCTTCAGTGTCCGCGCGCGACAGACTGACCACTGGTCTGGCTATGGTTACTACCGTTGGTTCAATGTTAATATGTGCATAGAGAATGGAGGAGTCCGGCTCGTTAATGACGAGAGAGCGACTTTGATGAGGCCTGATGGCGGGAATAGGACCCGTTTGGGCTTCAGCTGCTGGTGCAGGCGATGGAGAGGGAGCGGGCACATCAGTTGAGCCGGCAGTCGGCTGATCAGTTGGAGAAGTGGTCGAAATGACATAGAAGTCGGAGAGGAGATGAAGCATATGAGCATGGAGATGGAGCAGAGCGCTGACTTGATTGAAAAACTAAAGTTAAATATGACTATTACCAAATACGAACAAAGCAGAGATGTAAACTTAAAGGCAAAGCGCACCCCCTGCGACCAGTCAATGCTTGTGGAGGCTTCGGAAGTATCCATAGG